CCCTCAGCCAGGGTCAACCCACCACAGCTGACTACTCAATATATTTAATAATCAATTAGTAAATTATCAGTTTGTAGCATACTTTTAATGTGGTGAAGTCAATAATGTGTCAAGTCAGTCATTAATAAATAATGATTCACTGATTTCAAGGACAAAAGGAAAAATTCTGATTATCTACTCTGCCTATTTGCATAACATAAGTCATACAATTTCACCCAGAACCCCCTGAACAAAGCCCATTATTTTTTGTCTGAGCCATAGCATGTCTTTGGTATACTCGTGCAATCCTGATTTGAAAACTACAAGCAACAAAAGAACCCACAACATTCCTAAATCAAAGTTCCAAACTGAGTTACCTTCACTCGCAAAAACAAAAGTCTTCCCATGTTTAGTATAAATTCTTCATGTTTGATTTATTCTGTACCTTCCTCTGGATAAACTGAATATCCAAACCAGTTTTGCTCTTTCATTGTAAGACAGTTTTGTAGAGCTAGCTGCTAGGGAATTCATTGGTCACAAGAAAATAATTACTTCACACTAACACAAAGCAGCTTTTAAATATCTATGAATTACACATCTGAAAAAATAGCAACCTAATTATCTCCATTATTCCTTGTTTTCATCTATGTTGCAGTAAGATGTACCTTGAATATGGACAAATGCTATGACTTTTTAGCTACAGATAGTTACATTATCTAACTAAACTACAAAATTTATAAGCAATACCACTGTGGAAGATCTTTTTTGGTCCTAAGTTTTTATTAGTCCTTAGCATATAACCTACCATTTGACAGCTGAAGGAATCGATACAACATGATTTGGTGGGTGTTGGTCTCTTCTCCCAAGTCACAAATGATAAGATGAGAGCAAATGGCCTCAAGTTGTGCCAGGGGAGGTTTAGATTGAATATTGGGAAACATTTATTCACCAAAAGGGTTGTCAGTCACTGGAACAGGCTGCCCGGGGAAGTGGTTGAGTCACCATCCCTGGAGGTATTTAAAAGATGTGTAGCTGTGGTGCTTAGGGACATGGTTTAGTGGTGCACTTGGCAGTGTTAGGTTAATGGTTGGAACTGATGATCTTAAAGGTCTTTTCCAACCAAAATGATTCTGTGATTTAAAAACTATTTTCAAGCTCTAAAGATTCAAGAGATGCCTGATGGGTTTTTCAGCAACTTCTACATCTCCCACTGACAAGTTTTAAGGATTTGCAGTATTTTCCATGCATCCAGGGCCCACTGAAACCTTGGAAATCAGGAGCCTGGGCACTTCAGAAAATCTCAGCAGGTAGTAAAGGTTCTAATCCTGCTTTAAGCCCAAAACATCTAGATTTAAGTAAGTGTTGTCACTGCATGAGAATCTGTGTACTACACACATTTTAACCTTAAAAATACCTACCATTTACTTAGAAAAATCTCCAGTCTGGGCTTTGGGGTATATTCAGCCCAGGTTCACTTCCAGTCTGGGCTTTGGGGTATATTCAGCCCAGGTTCACTTACCCAGCCAGGCGACCTGAGAGAATACAGGCATTGTTTCAGTTTGGGCTAGAACCTCTGTATTTTGCAGTAAGAACACTGATGGGGGTGGGAGGTGGCGTGTGGAAGGGTGGAACCTTGCCTTTTCCATAATTTTCCCTGAAAATACAGTTCCCTTGTACACAACTGAGTGGGGAAGAAGTCCAGACTGTTACTTAGCGCCAAGAACCATGATGTATATTGCCAGACACACACATGCAAGTGCCAGAAATATGGCACTTGCATATGTGTGTATGTTAAAACAGGCAGAGTTTTGCTTTGAGAAGGCTCTTGCTGCAAAAGGCTGCCCACTGATCGATGCATGCATCTGGGTTATTGGTATAACCATGGTAAGTTAGGAACACAGTGAGCATCCAACCCCCAAAATATTACCCACTCTCCCAAAACAAAGTACACACTATCTACTGAACTTTCAACATATGTACAATGGAGACATCTTAATTCTCATTCTATAAATATTACTTTTCTATACAATAAAATATAAAGACTTAGTAGTAACAAAATATTAGATCTTCAGAATTCTTTTCAGTTGATTTCTCTTTGTAGATTAGTGTACAAATGCTAATACAATCTCAGGGTAGACCAGAATTATCATTGCAATATCATCTTAATTTAAAAGGCCCAAGACCAAAACTAGACTGCAAACATTCAAGACAAACGGGGTAAATTATTTTGTTTGTATAAAAGGATACTAAAGCATTCTCCTTCCTTATATCAGCTGGAACATAAGCTGGAATTTTCTGTGCCACCCACAAACATTAATACAGGGTTGGTGGCCTCCTGATGAGAGCTGGTTTTCCATTACAGAGAAATACCTTTACTTTTTTCTTTGTACACCATATTGTTGTTACATCCAATAGCTACTCTCTCCAACTAATATCTTTCTGGAACAGCAACAATAATCTCTGTAGTTTACGGACGCAGATGGCAACTATGCCTACTACAGTCCTGTTTGTATACTTCCTGTTTGTATAGTTCTGCTTCCATATGTAATGACAGATGCCATCTCCTCTACCCGCACGGGGACTCTATTCACTTCATACTATTGCCACCAAAGTAAAATGAGACTCAAGACTAATAAAGCTTGCAATCACATTCCTTTCATTGATTTTTTTTAGCTCAGTTAGGTCAAATTAAATCCTGAATTAATGTTATGCTTGCTCTAGGAGTCAGTAAGGCTGAATGCCAAGACAGCATAGGATTTGTAACTCAGTGACAGTATCCCGCAAATGCATCCATGGATCAGACTCAAAATGAGTTCTTTACTCCTTACACCACCAAGACATTTGTCTTGGGCTGAACTATGCATTGCAATTCCCCTGTCCTTAAGTTAGGCACTGACTCAGCCTAGCTGAAATTCTCTTGCCTTACATAGATTGCTGAGATATTGCAGATCAGACTAGAGCCACCCATCCTGTCAACACTGCACAAGAAGGAAGGGAAACTTCAGTTCAGTCATTTAGATCAGCATGTCTGATTCACATGCCATAAATGCTGAGTATTTGTGTTACAGTCCTATGTATTCCTTAACAGCTATTTCTTATTTCACCCAGAGGAAAACAGTTGCAGACACAGAGAGGGCCTTATTCAAGTTATCAGAGCACTTTAGCTGTATATCTAGACTGCAGGGCAGGTGAACTCCAGAGCAAAGTTCATGGAGCCACCCAGAGCACATCACTGGTCCATCCCAGCCTGTGTGCCTGCCCTTCCTTCCCATGAAAAACACTGCAGAGAACAGCCTTCAGTGTCCCAGGATGTCACCTTGACTCAGTGCTGCAAAATGATCAGGTTAAAGAGGGCAGACCGAGAAGCTGGGAAAGTCTCAAGATTTTCAGTTTCAGTACAGCCTTAGGCACCTAGTATGGCATCTATGTTGAGATAAGCCATGAGCAATTTAGGCTGATTTATTACTTAAAGCTTCCCCAGCATTAATGGAGAATTGCAGAGGTCATATTCAGACACCTACTTTAAAATATTTTAACTGAGTTGCTGTAACTTCTCTCCACTGACTCAATGGAGAGAAAGGGTCTGGCTGCAGAATCTTGAGACATCTCGAATTTAAGATATCAGAAAAAGTGTCTGTATCCACTTTTAGCTCTGTAGAAAAGAGTCCAGAGTCAGAGGAATCCTATGCTACAGCAAAGGCTTAAGTCTGGGTCTCCTAAACCTTAGAAAAGATCCCTTATCTATTGTGTCATCTTTACTCTATGAAATGCTCCCCCACTGCAATCCAATATACAGAAAGTCTTCCCCACCCCTAAAACAGGAAGAGTTCTCTTTTGGTACTGGGCTCCTCCCATTGCAAGTTTTGCACTCCTTATTGCTCACTTAATTGCTCACTAACCCAAGGGAACGGCATGAAGCTGCGACAGGGGAGGTTTAGGTTGGATATCAGGAAAAGGTTCTTCACCGAGAGGGTGGTCGGGCACTGGAATAGGCTCCCCAGGGAAGTGGTCACAGCACCGAGCTTGACTGAGTTCAAGAAGTGTCTGGATAACGCTCTCAGTCATATGCTCTGATTCGGCTGGTCCTGTGGGGAGCCAGGAGTGGGACTCGATGATCCTTATGGGTCCCTTCCAGCTCAGGATATTCTATGATTCTAATCTCTGAAGCCTTTGTTTTGCTTTTACTTTTGCAACCTACATACAAGCAAACAACTCAAGAAAATCATGGGATAAAAGTGTCATTAAAATATACACTGACTGTAAAAAGTCACATGGAAATGTCAATCTTCAGAGGAATGTAAGTTTTCACTAGCTAAGTTCTTCCTTTTTTTTTTTTAATCATCTTAATCAACTTCAGTTTTAACCTAGGTTTTCACTGGCCTGATTTTATATTAGCAATCCTCATTCAACAGATGACTCATGAAGGTGACTTACCTCCAGTCAATGCCCACAAAGAAGCAGAGGAAGTGGTATTCAATGTCACTTTATTTCAAAGTGGCTGGGTTAGCAATAAGTGCAGTTATAAGTTCAATGAAGTTCACATACTATTGCGTTAAAAGTGTATTAATGTGTTAAAAGGATCAAAGAGCAGCCCAGAAAAGAAGGAGGACAACTGTTCTACCTGTCTGGAGGAGAAAAGTGAGAAGATTGTTGAGGACAAGAGTTAGATAGGCCTCCGTCTGCTGGAACAGTGAGAAGACAGGATTGCCCTGTGCAATCTATAGGCTTACTGGACAGAACAGCGTGTTGGTAGAAAGAAAAACAGGGTGTCATTATTCACAAGTGCTGATTAACATAAGCTCTTTGTGCATTAGCTACATGAATGCTGAATTTATATCTAGAGTTTTCAAAATCCAGAAAACTGCCATCAAATAACAAACAGAACATACAGTTCAAAAAGCTGTCGATGGGGAAGGGTATGACACATGGTATCACCAGACTGGTGAAGCTAATTGCATTAAGCTTTACAGTCAATAGAGAAAGTTTCTTCTAGAATGCAATTCAAAACATTTAAATGAAGCCCTTGCTCTGAAATAATCTCCTTGCTGTCTCTTCCTCTGCCCCTCAACTACAGAGGCAGTATATTCAGATTAGACTTCTTAGGATAAGGTCTCCACTCCAATAGTCTGCATGGAGGATGTGGGGCACATGTGCGCAGGAGCATGCGCACACACACAGAGACTTCATTGGAATTACAATGCAATCACATTAAGTGAAAAATTGTCCCTTTTTGAGTGTTCCAGTCACCAGAAAGGAGGTCCAAACTGATCTGTTTTGAAATCAAAGATATACACATGCACACAAATACACACACAGGAAAAAGTAAGCAAATTACTGTGTGTGTTCTTTTCAGACAAGAAATATTTCATGTCTAGCTAACTGTGCAATTCAATAGATTAGCTCCGAAAGGAACAGAAAAAGGTCATACTCTTATTCATTAAAAAAAAAAAAATATTTTTATATATTAACTTCAATCTTGCAAGTTCTTAAAAGGATTACACCCAAAGTATGAAAGATTTATATACCTGCATTGACTGAAGTCCTTACAAGGTGTGTGCATCAGGCAAACATTCAGATTTCACAAAATATTCATCCTCTCTACAGTATTTATATGCAAACAGTGACATTAACAGATATAAATATTCTTCAGAATTTGTGGACCTGTATCTGTATGCACGCATTTTTTGAATCAAGGACAAAGCTAACCTGAAGTTTTTGTACACTATCTGAATTCAAATACAGAAAGCATTCAGCTAGTAGTTGACAGTGACCATGTTTGATACCAAAATTTTTAATAAGACTTCATATAGCACTAGCATATAAGACATTAATGGAAAGAGGAAGATTATTTAGAACTGTACTATCAGATAAAGTACCTTTGAATAGGTGACCATTCTCCATCTGAATGAGGGTAAGATGCAGACTGAGAAAACGTAGAAACAGCAGGAGTCTTTATGTCAGATACGTCATCAACAAACACATCTGGAACAGGGATCCTAGGTATAGG